CCTCATTCCATTTATTCTATGTCAATATTAAATTCATGTTTAAATCGATGTGAAATATTTAGGGTGGGACTTTATTTCTTTAAATCATTAAACCAATAGTTATAAATAAAAACTATGGGATACTCACTACAAATATGATTTACGACTGATTGGATCATGGTAAAGTAGCAAACTTAATATACCATTTTGGACAAATTCATCCTACAATTATCCATTTAAGATATTAACTTTTGATCGGACAGTTACTGAATGGTCCCTTTAGAAAAACTAAAATATATAGGGCAATACACAAATATTCTAACCATAGTTATCCTAATGAATAGGCAGAAAAATAAAACAGCAACTTCAATCAATTAAACATTTAGTTCTATCGGGCACTAGCCTAATGACCAGACATAAATTAAGTGATTAGCTGACTCATGCGGTGTATATATAAGTTGGAAGACTGAAATGTCTGATTTACATCATGGTGACACATATGATTCAGTGTACCGTAACAATTACTCATGTTTGTCAATGTTAGTTGTAGAAACTAACCCATGTATTGAGCAAGCTAGTCGATTGAAAGAGTAAGAAAATTTTAGAATTTAAGTATCTAACTTTTTGTTAAAGGTTTAAAATATGATAAATTTGCTTACACTCAAATGTGGACATTGTTATCTAAATGTTTCAGTTGTCTTAGCGACATATGGAAATTATTATTACTTACATGAATCATCCAATTAGTAGTCAAAAAAAGGAATTTTGTTTTCAACATTGTTTACACTTTTAAGTCAGTAGGATGTCTTAAAATGATGGTCATCCCAATTATCATTAGGTAATGGTTAAATTGAAAATATATTTCGTCATATTTGAGATCTGTAATTTGTACTCATGACTTCGAAGGTCTAACATACTGCTACTTAAACGATATGGTACAGCACAACTTGCCTAAGCAATAGTGATTCTAATGTTTGGTAGCTTGGTTTTCTTCATCAAATAATAGATTTATCAGCATCCGTACAACACTTTTTCCATTAGGATTCGAACATAATAGGACCAATGATTCCGGATAGTTATTAGGACATCTACATAGTTTTATACTTACTGACGTCTGTTACGCTTCGTGGAAGCTGCCCACAAGCACTCTGTGTCCAACCCTGTCTGGGTAATCCTTTCCAGATGCTATTCATTCTTTTTATGTCTGTTTCCAACTATCAACTATCAACTGTGTGTTCATTGGCCCCTTTTTTTAAAAAACTTTAAAACATTTACTCTTTCACTCAGAATTCGAAATTAGCACTTATACAATTCGTTCGTAAGAAAAATCAGTAGATATATCAGTTATCTTTTCAGATTGTAAACTCAGAAATCAATAAATCACTATAAGGAAAATGTAAAACGGTAAAACTGTGTTTATTTTAATTCAAAAGGTGTTCAATTTTACGACAACTCAATTTCTATTTCAAATCACTGGGATCAGAATTCTCATGAATATGCTCGAAAAACAAAATCCTTTTTAGAAACTTTTAAATTAAGTTAATCCTGTAAACTGGAAAATATAACAACAGTATTTTTGAATCAAACCCATTTTAACCAGTGATTCTACGTTTCAATGGGCAATCCTTTCCAGCTCTTTCCAGTTGTCATTCATCCTTTTCATATCTGCTTCTATTTCCCAATGTAATGTGTTCTTCGGTCTCCCACTTTTCCGCTTTGCCTCAGGATTCCAAATTGGGGCTTGCCTCGTGATGCAATGTGATGATTTCCTTAAAGTATTTCCTATCCATTTCCATCGTCTTTTCCTAATTACCTCTTCAACTGGAAGCTGATTTGTTTTCTCCCACAGAAGGCTGTTGCTGATGGTATCCGGTCAATGGATGTTCAGTATCTTGCGTAGACAACTATTTACAAATAATTGTACCTTCTTGATGATGGTTGTAGTAGTAGTTCTCAAGTTTCGGCTCCGTATAGTAGAACCGTGTTGACGTTGGTATTGAAGATTGTGACTTTGATATTGGTTGAAAGTTGTTTTGAGTTCCACATGTTCTTCAGTTGTGGGAATGCAGCTATTGTTTTGCCAATCCTTGACTTCACATTTGTATCAGATCCTCTCTGTTCATCGATGGTGCTTCCCAGGTGCGTGAAGGATTCAACGTCTTCCAGTGTTTTGCCATCAAGTGTGATTGGGTTGTTGTTCTCCATGTTGTATTTGAGGACCTTGGTTTTCCCTTGTGTGTTGAGACTGCTGCTACACTACTTGTCTTCATCTGTATTTGTTCGTGTGTATGGGATGTATTGGCCACGTCATCTACGAAAGCCAAATCATCTGATTGATTTTGAGCTGTTCATTGTATTCCGTGCTTCCCTTCAGATAAGGAGGTCTTCATAATTCAGTCAATCACCGGAAGAAAACGGAAAGGGGAGAGTCAGCAGCCTTTTCTGACTCCGGTTCTCAATTTGAATGCATCTGTCAGCTGTTCTCCGTTCATGACTTTGTACTGTAGTCCGTCGTGTGAATTTCGTATGATGTTGATGATGTTTACACGTATCCAGTTTTCATTTTTCTGTAGTTACTAACCCTTATCTAATTATGTCTACACACATGATATATATTATGAGAAAATTTCCACCATCATTTGGAATTTCAAATTCAATTTAAGAAGTTCCTTATTACATTAAATTATTTTAATCTAGAATAAAGAGGAAGAATGTATTTGGAATATCTCAGCGAAAGAATTTGAAGTAAATCCAACGTTTCGCCTGGCAACCTGGTTCAAGCTTTTTCAAGGAAAACATAACCAAACAACAAAATTATATATATATTATATATAATTTTTATCGTGAAACTTTAAACAATTTAAAGATTTGATCTGAAATAATGCAGAAAATTTCCAAAAACAGTTACCTGTATACGGATCTGTACAGTGAGGTCATATTTTATCAATTAGAAGATTTTGCGTTCATGCAGTTTCATGAAACCAGTGAAAAAACGTAAACCAAATCATAATCAACACAAAAACTGGGACAAGTTTAGTTTATCTCCACATATTTTAGGTTATCAACAGACCAATAAACTTAAACAGTAACAGGGCGATAAATAATCCGAAATAATAAACAATAAACAAATAGTTAGAAGAGAATACATAAAAGTTTATATGTATGGCGGAAAACTGAAACAACAAAATGTAGAGAAAGACGAAGGTTAGATACACCTGGGTCACTTTGATAAACTCTTAGCCATGTGACGTCTTCAACAACCGATCGTCGATATCATGTGGGGTATATGTATTAACATGGCTTGGTCCAACAGTGCATGACCTTACGAACTGATATGACGTAATGGTTTGACCACCACTAGTTTTTTCTAATCTACTTCTAAATCACGCAGCTTGATAAACAACTAACTGTGAGGACATCCAAATTATAACAGTAGAAAAATTTAAATGAATGTTATGAAGAACAGTAAAGTTATATAGTTTTGCAGAGTAAATTCTAAAGTTACAATCATAAACAAATATCTCGAAAAAAAATTGGTTTTTAATTAGCTAAGATGTTAATAATGGTTTATTGGTTAAAATTCAAATTACGCAGATACATGTGACCACTTTATGTTTATTACTAAGATGTAATCACATGTGAATTGAAGTTCATATGAATGATAAATAATAAATACAGATTTTTATAAAATGCCTTATAAACATGCCAAATCATTAACACTGAAACACTACCAACTTTACAAAATAAAAGTTGCTTCAGTTGATTTGTGCTTAAAAAAAGCACTAACACTTCAACTTCAAACATACTAGATATATATCAACTAATAATTTAGTGTAATCAAGTCAAAATTATTCCAGAAGTTATCAATTGATGATTAACCTGTTAATTCTAAATGTAGTTTTCTAAAAAATAGTTCAACTATCTGAAAAGTCTTGATATATGGTTTATGCACATTTAAAAATTCTTTGAATTAGATCAATTCTAATTCCTCGTTTCTATGTAAAACCAACAGTTAAATACAATTCAGTCTATTTTAAGATGGACAAGTGATTCTAAATAAAGCAAATCAATGTAAATGTTAACATTTTCCTGAACTGATTTCGTTTATTTGAGACTCTGAAAGTAACAACTTGAATAAACATTTTGGTTAAATATTCCTAACAAAACAGCTTAGAATACATTATCAGTGTGTGGTTGTGGAGATAGTTAGGTTTTTGATTGAGATCATGAATCAGTGAATTTTAGACCTGGAAACACTGGACGGCCGTCTCGTCCTAGTACGCGATTCCTTATTAGTGCGCACCAACGATCCCGCAGGTTGTGTTAGAACCCAAGACCTTTGGTCTCACGCACTAACGCTTAACCTCTAGACCACTGCACCTGCGTACAACGGTGTTAATGTCTAACTCCAACCAATCTATGAAATTGTGCGATCACCTTCCACTGTCTGAGATTGATACCTGTCTCTACCTGACACGGATTACCCCGTTGGTCATAGTTATGGAAAAGTAAATGAAGCCGTACATATATGCTAGTACCTATCAGTATACGAAATATTTAATATTTCTGTTTGACTGTCAAGCTGTTCGATAGTCAAGAGAAAATGCAGTAAGGATTGTTGATAAGCGTTTATAAAATTTAAACCTAACCCAAATTCTGATAACTTCAAGAATCATGGTTATAAAAAGCAAACTGAAACCCTAATCAAATTAGTAATCGTCATTTAGTTTCAAAGTAGTTATTAGTTTGAAAATAAAGGTTAACAATTCACACTAAACTTGATAATAACAGACCTATTTTAAGCTGCATATACACTTCAGAAGACGTGTTATGTTTCGAGTGTGATGAATAAGATGAAAAATATTTTTTAATGACTATAGTATATCTGACAATATATATCATACGTGGTTAAAATTACATGCAGGCCAGTGACTCACTCTAAGCAAGAGTCCATACTGATATATAAAATAATAAATTAAATCGGTGTTTGTAATAAAAACATCAACTTTTTCATGACTTACTTCCCGTTTTGCTTATAGTTTATACACTAAGGTATTCACCATCGTAATTAACACCAGTGCATCTTTGATCAAAATGCATTACCATTTTTACTATTACAGATTAAACAAATCAACCAATCATAACTAACTTAAATATGATTGGCTGAATTGAAGGTCAGTCATGAAGAGAAGATAATCGAGTTTTTGACAACAGTAACTTATCCTTGTCTTATGGTATCAGTTGCAATACATATTGAGAAGAACTTTTCATAATGTATGCTAATGTTGAACAAATTTCTCTCCTCCCTTAAATTGTTTATCGACCGTGTCTATGATTCCATATGAAAATGATCAATAATAACCATAAGTCTATAATTTCTGAATCTGAATCATAATGTATTTCTTAATTTTGTACGGAAAGTCTATTTAACCAAATATATTAATTCATTTTCCTTACTACTTGTAAAATTTAGGCCATGAAAATTTTTTTCAAGTAACATTATTGAAAATTTAATTTAAACAATCCTTCTGTTCTTTGTTATTCATATCAAGGCTAATTTTTGAACTCTGGTAATGGAACTCAACAAGATGATCTTATCGAACAAAACACAATATATAGATTGTGCAACAAGTTTGAAATATTTAAAGCATGAATTACTTCATCTTCCTATTGTTATTTAATTTGTTGAATACTATTTACATAATACTTGGATGAACTAGGTTATTTGCTAATCAAATAAATATGGAAGGTATGATTATGATAAATGGACTAGTGGATATTCTTAGCGAAAATCCTTCCACTAAGTTATAACCACAAATTTTGAGAACTACTCTGCAAGTGAATCATGAACTGTCATGCTGTTTATTTATATCCTCATTAAATTCATTTCTTTGTCGTGCCATTTATTCTTTATTTAAAAGAATCAGTTTGAAATCTTCACTAGCACAATGAGAGAAATGTCTGGCTTTTCCGGTTATTCAATCTATATTGAACGTGGTAATTTCACTTAGGGAGTCAGCATTTCCTTTCTCATAACAGCGTGATTCACGGTTTGTCTTTCTTGTCCACCTTTCTGTCATAATATCACGCTACAGTTTATTAAATATTCACTAATAGGATTTTTTCAAGAAGTTAGGATGATCTTGAATTGCACCTTGACAACGTACAAGTTAAAAGCTGTGTACTTTGTCCTTATTAAATAATGCATTCTTACATCTAAATAATATATGCTGTTCCTTTTGTTTGCTGTATGATAGCCTTTCCAGGCCTCACTCCGTAGTATGTTACAAGGTGTGGGATAAAAACGTGAATTGAGTCAACAAGATCTTTTACAACTATTTAGTTTTGTCAATCACAGGACTGAATGAAAGATGTTTGTTGTGATAAATCGTCTTTCCATCCTACCTAAGCCACGGTAGTTTGCCTGGCAAGAACACACTGATCACAAAATCGTAGTTTTGGTAAGATACTTCATAATAAGTGCACTGTCGGTACAAATCTCAATCCTCATATTGTAATTTCAAGTACCTCCTGTGAGATGATCACCACTAGACTAAATTCAAATGCTAAAGGAACTGAAAAAATCTACCTAACCATATAAATAAACTAATAATGGAGACAGTTTAAAGTGGACATTCCAAATTGTTTTAAGATCTAGGTTATTATATTTGATTGTTGACTCGTTAATGAACGATTTACTGGTAAACAAGTTTCTAAGTTCGCTCACACCCAAAATTTGTACTTCATTAATGTATATCTAAATATTTTGTCTGTTAGATAATGAGTCTGTTTTCCTGAAGTTTATTTGGTCAATATCCAAAGCCTTAATACAATCAGAGAAAATCTTCATGTCATTTCAAGTATCTTATCAAATCAGTTAGTATGATTACCAAAATAAAAAAGGGATTATCAGCAAAACGTATACAACAAAATCAACACGTTGGCAGTTACAGTTAAAAGGCGTATATTTGGAATTTATTTTTATGACCTAAATGTTATTTTTATTTGATCATTTATCATCTGATAAATAACTCACAGTCATACCACAAAACTGAAGATCAAGCTACGTGATTAACAATTTTTCACATGAAATCAGCTAAGCAAAAAGCCGTTAATCGTTTTCATGAAGAAATTACCAGTTAATTACTTCATATACAAATAATATATTTCATTCCATATTATACTACAATGAGTTTATTCAGTTATAGATTTTTTCTTTTGAACTGTATTCAGTTTGTTTTCAGGAGTCGTTACCATCAGTTCTCATTTTATACGCCTACCTCATTCTCCCCAATAACTTATCGAATAAATTTTCCGACAACAATAGTAACTAAACTGAACAACTAAATGACGAGGGATGTAAAAATACTTCGCAATATAATAGTTTTCCTTATTTTATTTTCATGAAGTAACTTTATTTCCGTGATTTCCAATTGTGTAGTTTTCTAAAATCATCTTCTACGAACAAAATAAAAAAATATTTTCTCCAGAATACAATTATTAAGTTTTTGAAACAATTTAAGTATATAATATTTTAATAGTTGAGATCATGAGCCAGACCACCATGAAAAACCTAGAAGCACTGGACGGTCTTGGCAGTGCTCATCCACGATCCCGCCTCACGAGATTCGATCCCAGGACCTAACGGTCTCGCGCGCGAACGCTTAACCTTAAGACCACCGAGCCGGCATCCAACGGTGTTGATGTCTAACTTAATGACTCGTGATCTCAACAACTAAAACTACTATAATAGCCACAAAATCCCTTCTGATATATACTATTTGTTTATAACAAAACTTGTCTATAGTTTTCTCAAAGAGGAATTAAACATCTACCGTAGGAAAATAGTCGACAAAAATAATTTGAGTCGAAGAGAATTGTTCCAAACAATCTTATTAAACTTGAACGAACTCAAGTTAAAACGTTTAAACAAAAGTCATGACAAATTATTTACTGAAATTGAAATTTATCTCAGTTATATAATGGTGATTAAAAGCAATTATAGACGTTTTACACAGTGAAGATTGTTTAAATGCCAGATACGCTAATTAGATATCTAATAATGACAATGTTTTACTTAAATGATCAAAATTAGGAACTGTTTTATAATAAGTCTAATGAAGAAGATGAAGAAAATGAAGTTTGATTATATATTCGGCAGTTACTGGGGTTTTATTCCGATTTGGTAATATCAGCTACATGTTTCTGTGTTAGTGACAATGTTCACATTACTATTCAAATTAAGTATAATTGATAAGATAGATGTAACGTATATGTTATAAGAAGTGCATTAATGAACCTTATTCATCAATACTTAGACTAATTACACTCATTCTTACGTTTATACCATGAGAAAGATTGTTATGTGATGAAAAGATGAGGTATCTAGTGGATGTTCATAAACAATAACTTTTGATGAAAAATACCATTTTTCGCTTTACACAAGGTCATTTATATTATGTGAAATTCGTGAAATTGTTTTGATATTTTATTCAATAATCTATTGGACAAGTGGATTGACTTTAAAAGAAGCTTGTGCTTTATATATATATATATATATATATATATATATATATATATATATATATATATATATATATATATATATATATATATATATATATATTTGGTTCACTTATCATCAATTCACGCTACTAACTTAAAATGCATATACGGGTCATCTGAAATTGTTCGTTTGTATGTTAATGTTAAAAATGTAACTTTTCTTGTTTTGTTTTAAATAACCAAAAGTAATGAATTCTAAGAAACAATTATTTTAATTTTTTTCAAGAATTAGTTTATACATCGTTGGTCTTATTAATTTTTTGCCTTAGAAAAGTATTTTAATATTGTAGCGCTAAAGAATTCCTCATAGTAATGGCAAATGAACATCTGACATTGGCATTAACCATCTCAATTGTACTGAACACGACACTTAATGAAGGAGCTCAGTTCAGCGTTCACATTAAACCAGTATAGCGTAGAATGCCTCTCCTCCAATATATATTGCCAGCTTAAATTCATACATCACGATAAGTTCGAATTTCTTCCAAATATATCTTCTCACTTAGTCGTCTTTTTCCTCTCCTACCGACTTCAGAATCATTTTGTGAGGAGAACCTTGAAGAACAGTACTGTAGAACCCTAAGGCATCTGATTGCTCATCAACCTGTACCTTAGTCGACAGTAAGGTCTTGACCTTGAATTTCGGATTAAAAATGCCAACCGAGTTGTTTTAATATATAGACATACATATAATTTATTATGTTCATATTATATAATACATTATCTATATATACTATTACAGTTATGTATAGTTTTTGACTGTTAGGTCTTTTCTTTGGGAGCTATATGTCTGAAGTTCACGTAAAAGTCCCCTAGATAAATGATCAGTTATCCAGTAGTTTATGGAATCAATCTTTTTATCAGAACAAGTATGAAGAGTAAGCCAGTTTATTAAATATAGAAAGATAGTTAGAAAGTATAAAAGTAATGAAATGAAGGAGAGATGTTCCAAGTTGAAAGCAATGCACCAAAACATTGTCAGTTTGTTTGGGTTAGATAAGTGATAGTCTAACAACAAAAGTGTGGATTTGGTGTCAGTGGATATAAGTAGTATGGAAATTGGAATACATCCCAGAAGAAGATTGAAATAATTCGATTGAAAAGAACAGAAATGGAAACAGAAATTATTCATTGTGACAACACAATTGAAAGAATCATGAAGCATGTGAAGAAAAACCTAAGGAAGAGGTGAAAATTATATATTTAAAGTATAATTTCCATATTTTAGGTAGACACTCTGTAATTTCGTGTTCAACAATAAATTGCTCTCTCCCATTCAAATTCTTATTTACCACATAGGTATTCGATTTTATTTTATTCTTGAATATTTTCAACAAGTACCTAAAATTTTTGATTAACGCTTTGGTCATATGACTCGCACAACAATCTCGTATTCATTTCATTGATTTTTCTAGGATCATTTCAGTAAAAATAAGAGAAAATTATCACCTGATAAAATAAAAGGTACCAATCAGAATTGTTTATTGATAAGATTATTATGAAAATTAGAAAGTAAAATTAATCGCTTAGCATAAATGAATAGTATTTTACAACATAGTGTTACTTCATC